GACAGCCCGCTCCTGCGCCTTTAAGACTATGATGTAAACTACAGCTACTTCTATACTACATAAGTATTGATACAGTTGAAGTGGTATCATCTCTTTTCAGAGAACCAAAGAGGTATAAAGAATGACATAAATTTGAAGACAATTTTCTTCCTCATCCCTGTCAAGGGGGATGCCTTATCTTAAAAAACAAAAATAAAAACCAACCCCAAACCAAACAAAAATAACAAAAAAACACCTCAAAAAAACAAAACAACAAACAAGAAAACCAACCATAACCAACAATAATGGATGCCCTTACCTTTTTTTAATCCTGCCTTAAAGCCACAACTTGCTATATATCACAGTTCATTAAACAACTGTAGACAACCTAGCAGTACTAAACTAATCCAGTCTAAAATCCTTTCAGGGATTTAAGAGTTGCCCTCTACTGTGTTTAGTACTCTTAATAACGAGCAATAACGTTCTAATATTCTGAATAAATCTATTCTCTTTCTTACACAGTTCTTCTTTTTAAACAGAACGTATCTTTAGAATTTCCATATTAGATACATTATAACTAACATATTTATCAGTTGTTTTCCTTACCTGCTTCCTTCCTCTTTTTGTTTGCTCTTACTTTTTAAATTTGGGCTGACTGCAATATACAATTTAAGTGAGGCATATAAGAGATTGCTATAGTGATCTTTCTAAGTTTTTCCTCATTTCATCCTTCTACAAGTTATGACACTGTAAACATGCTGGACTCTTACTTCTGTTTTCCATTTTCAAACTATTAATTTTTCTTGGCAACATGAGATTGCCTTCTATTTGTCAATATCAGACTTTGCATGTCACCACTCTGCTATTTATCTTAAGTCTTGCTACTTCTCTGCGATTTCCAGGTGTCTTCTGTAGTCTTGAATAATTAAAAGTATGTATCGGTACCTTCTGTGATTATGCAACTTCACAGAATAACAACCCTTTCATACAGAACTTCAAATGCTATTTTGAAAACTGAACAGTTACGAACACTCCTAGCCAGGCCTTATCAAAAACAAATAAGCCAAAACAACAAATGTGATGCACTAAAAAGGAAAGTCAAGGGAACTATTTTTCCTTCCTTTTCAGTCCATGACTAAAAATACCTGGAAACAAATTCTCTTTAAACATAAAACACTATAGCAACTATACTTAACAATCAACATCATCTTCAAAATATTGCTAAGCTTATTGCTTGACACGCTTTAGATGGAATGTTCTATTTCCATTTTCATAGGTAGACCTTAAATGTATCAGGAAGGAGCATACTCTTTTCTCCTGCCTCCTTTTAACCTCATTCCCCTTGCCACACAAAGGGAACGAATTAAAAATACAATATGAAATTATTGCTACCTTAATTGGACCAGCAATTTCTTCTACTTGATGAATTTTTTCTTTCATTTCTTCAAATTTTTTTTCAGCCACCTGGAGGATATTTTTCAGTTCTTCCATTTTTTTGCTTTGTTGCTGCATGTCTTTTTTTACAGATTCCATCTTACCCTTATTTTCTTCAGCTTCATCTTCCTGTCAAAATATATTAAAATGAAGAACAATAAAAGGAGACATACATTTGCAAATTACTGTACAAGATTTTTATTTTATTATCACTATCAGGGTACAAGATTACATGCAATGCTCTGTAACTCTAATAAGAATAGGAGCAGCTTGATGTAGTTGTCACTAAAGCCCAAAAGAAGAGACTGACGGATCTTGTAGGAGAACCACTAAATCAAACTGCAAAATAAAAAGTGGAATTTCCTAATTATCTGACTGAAAATTAAGGGGACTTTATTTGGGAGTTGTGATTAAAAGACTAAAGGGGCTAGGATTTTGTGAAGACTTAGCCATGCTAATATTTCATTACAGTAATTTTTTAAGCAAAAGAACAAGGTAACTTCCCTCTGGATCTGTGACAGAGTATATACATCCAGTACACAAAGGAATACAGGAAGAGTAAGTGGACCGTCACTATTCCCTAGAAAATTATACCATTCCTAATGAATTATAAACATACATACTTTCTGATTCGAAAAGACAAATATTCCAAAACCTGGGAAAAATATGTAAATGAAACCTTGTATTGCTAAGATTCTTTTTCACAATCAAGCAATTGTGAAATCAAGGTAGCAATGAAAGATAAATACCAAGTGAAAGAACAACAATTAATCCATAGTAGTGGTCAGAAAGTGCAGAAAACAGAAAAACAACAAAAACCCAGGAAAGGAATAAGGAGAAGCAAATATATAAATCTACCAGTTGCGTAAGACCATTATCAGAAGGCAACGGTAAAAATGTTGATGTTGAAAAAGCAAGTATCCAATAATTTTGAAACAGGAAGATATTCTCCTACAAAAAGGTAATAGACTATTTTTCCATCTCACCAAAAGGACAAAGAATATACTTTTTCTTAAACCAACAGAACTAGATTATCTAGAAAAGAGAAACCCTAAAGAGCTTACAGAATCTGTACTGATCCCTTACTTTTTAAGTAAATTTTGAAATGTTTACTTACAGTAAACTATGTGCACACACACTGCAAGACAGACCACTGAAAAAGGGTGAATTTGTGCCAACACAATTTAGCCTCTCGCTGATCCCAGATAAGGTAGTGGGAAAACTGGCATGGATTTTAACTGAAACAACTGTAGTCAGGATTACTATTAACACCTATCAGCATGATTCTTAGAATTTAAATCTTGGTCATATATACATTAGCTTATTACAAAGCAACAGTTGAAATTCATTGCCACCATCACACAAATCACAACAGATAATCAAACATTTTTTTTTTTCTGTTCTCAAACTGCTGTGCATACATTTTAAGAACACATGGATAAGAATAAGAACTTTGAAGAAACCATCATACCACCATGATCCTTCCCTAGGGTGATACATGAACTTTAAAACTTCTGCATGGTGAAGCTACAGCAAAGCAAGAAACTGTGGGTTCAGGGCAGAGTGGCAGTGCTGTGACATAAATTACGCTCCAGAGTGGCCTTTACCTATGCTTTGATGGTGCCACTTCTGACCTCCAAACCTACAGCACCATTTCTCCCTAACCAGAGTTTTACAGCACTGCAGCTCTGGAATGAGGAAAGAAAATGCATGGAATATCCCTTTACAATACCACCTTGCCTTCCATAAACCTGCAGTGCTATTGCTCTGAAAAAGGGCAGAAGTAAGAAAAAAGAAAAAAAAAAAAGAAAGAAAAGAAAAAAGGAAACAAACACCAACCAAAGAAAAGCTCTCCAAAAATAAAATTATGACACTGCCATAATTGTAGACATTCTGTAAAGTGTTACATTCTTCACTATTTATCCAGCTTGTACACTAGTTGAAAATCTACAGTATTCGCTTATTTCAAAACACTGCCAACATTAAAAGACATTATTTCATATCCTTATTAGACAAAATTTGATGATCTATTCTTACTAATGTACGGATGTCCACTGACTGGTGTTCTTCCATATTTTCAAGATCTGCTATTTCTGCATTTGTTGTTCTTATTTTTATCTGAAAAGAAAAAGACAATAAATATTCTTAAGCTTATCTAAAAAGAAAAGTTCACATTTGTTCATTTAAGTAAACACAGAAAGCAAGATATTTGGTCTTTTAGTTTCATTAGTGCCTACAAAAGACAGAACTCTTCCCACTTACCTATGGAATCCAGTTTTACAAGATATAACTTGTTCTGAAAGTCACATGCACTTTAAATCATTAAGTTACTATTGTATTTCCATTCAACATGACAATTGAATAAAATAGGTTTTATTTTTCCTTCAAATATTTATCTTCAGCAATCTGAGTCCATGTGCCAGGTTTTTTGCTGGTTCTTGTTTGTAATTTACTGAATATAGCCTTATATAGTATGTATTATCTTACACTGCCTAACTGTAACATCATCGGCCACCACAAATATATATCCTACCTAGAAGTACTGGAAAACAAAGAAAGATGACTAATAGTTGTAAAATGGTTTATAAAGAAATTAAAATTAAGAAAACTTAAAGGTGAAATATTAAGCATATTAAAAAGGGGTAAGAATATAAATGAAGAGCATGAAGAGAAACAAGATTCTGGGAATGAAGAGGCAAGCTCAACAGAAATAAAGGAGGGGAAAGCAGGGAAAAGACACTTGCATCAAATATTGCAACAACTTCCTATTTACGTCAAAAAAGCAGTAGAAATTTGTGAGATTTAGCACAAGAGGAAGAAAAAAAAAAAGATACCATACAGAAACAACAGCATATGCTAGGATTGATGTGGCCTCTGTCGTTCTGTCCTAAATGATGAAAGCATACTACAAAAGTAAACAACATGAAAGCAAACAACAAAAGTAAGGATAAACATTAAAAACTATCATCCACGCAAAATATATTGCAGAAGTC